CAAACTGCCATTTGTTTTGCCTGCTTTTCCCCTCTTGTATTTCCATTTTGACTTCAGAGAGAAGAAAGAGAGAAAGAAGAAAATGGATGAACAGATGCAGGAATAGATAAGAGAAGCAAAATTCTAAGATCAGAAGCAGATGGGAGAGTAAGTAAAAAGGACTTCTCTACTTATATCAGGGAATGATTTTATTCTGCTTCAGAGTAACAGGTTTATAACTAGAAAGAGCCCCTCTGAATTTCTCCTCTGATTAACTTTCTAAAAGATCACCTTTTTAAGGAATTTAATAGTAAACTCTTAATCAGGTGATAGTTCAATAAAAGTTTGAGGCACATTCAGTGCCTTTTAGATAAAAAGATCTAAGAGCTTGGGAGATGTCAAAGCACAACTATGTGAATTGTGCAGCATAGTTCATTCAGAGCATGTGGTGAAAACAAAGCTTGTATCCTGGGAGGCACCTGACCTTTGTCCAACAGCTGGCAAATAGTCCCCTCCTAGGAGTTCATTTTCAAGTGTGAGGTTCCAGATGAGTTGGTAAAATGATCTGTTGCTTCAGGGAGAAGATAAAGATGGTCTGCTTCTGCACCCTGGAGGTGGTGCATCAAGGGGTGTGTGGGCTCATGATTCTTTACATTCTGTAAACCATGTGTGGGCATTTTGTGAGCTTGTTGAGCACTTATGGAAGTAAACACAGGCTTTGCTGTACCTTTTGATGACGAGCACCCTGCAGAGCTGCTACGAGGTGTAAGCACTCCATAATCAGCATTTCTTCACAAACCACCATGTGTATACAAGGGCTACTCTGAAAATAGAAGAGAATAATTTGTTGAAACAGGAGCCTGTAGACACAAGGTAAAAGGGAGTTTTTCTAAAAGGTTTTGGTGTCATCGTCAGTGATAGAGAAGACTGGCAGACTCCAGGTGTTCCCAGACTCAGGCCCATCACTGGGAAACAAGTAGTCAGGAGATGTGACTTAGTGGGAAAGAAATCAGGTTCACTGAAGGTCCAGCACACTGGGGGATGGGGGAGGGCGCTGTCATCCGCATAGTGTCCTCTTGGGGATCTCAGGGACACAAAGGGCTTTTATAGGGAGAGAAAGATGGGATTGTGTGGCAGTGGGAGGGAAGGTTTCTCTTAGCAGGGTTTTTGTCTTCTGAATGGACCACCACAGTGGAGCTTGACTTTCTGGGGCCAGCACCTGTACTTTCTTTGAATTGACAAACTTATTTCTGCATGTGAAGAGCCACAGATATTTCTTGTTTTGTGTTGATTTATAACTAAAGACTAAGAAGAGGCATGACACATTCTGATTTTATCAGAGGATCACCGGGTGTTCTGGGTTTTGTGAATCTAAAGGAACATATACAGCAGTTCACATCTTAATCAGTTAGCCACAGCTTTTCTCCAGAATTTAGAAACCTGGGCAAAAGAGAGGGTGTGACTGGGGGTGCACAGGGAGGGAAGCTGGAGTAACTGTCCAGGATAGCTCCCAGTGGAAGTGTCCTCCCCACTTGGCTAATGAATCCAAAGGCACTTTACCATACAACTGTACTCATATATCTTTACTTTTTAAAAAAAGTTGTGCTAGTCTCTAAGTTGACACTGGCCTCAAAGTTGAGACATCCTGTCTCCGCCTACTGAGTAGATGAGGTGACAGGTGTACACCACTGCACCTGGATAAGGGTGACCGTGGTTACCCAGAAGCATCCTCATTTTTATTTTTAATGTGTTGTTATTAAAATGTTGAAACACAGAAATAGAAGTACATAGAACACCATCCCACCCTTTCCTGTGTACCCATCATCCTGTTTCAAAACTTGTCTCTAGAGTACTGTGCATGGAAGGGTAATTCTTGAGCAGGACACCATGTGTTTACAATATAGATTAAAAGATCTTTTATTTTTTAAAAATGCACAAAAACTTTTGAAGTTTCCTGAAAATGAGCCTTTTTTTGGTGTGTACTTTATTATAGATAGAAGAGGGACAAAGAAAATGACAAGAACGGCTCACGGAAAACATGACAGCTGTTAGCAGATCCTGGATGGGAAGCCCAAGGTAAATACAGATGACATTTAATCTCAATTCAGTAAGAATCACAAACTTCCTGCTTCCTGTAAGCAGGGTTGCATTCCCAGGAGGCTGGACTGTGGTACCTGGACTCTTCTATACCGTCCTGGATGATGTCACCTGCCAGCCCAACCCCAGCAGCAGGTAGGGAAGGCTCYAGGGGACCAGCACAGTCTTGCTGAGGAARGTTGGGGTGAGAAGGAGACAGRGGAGGGGAGACCATTGGACCCTGGTGCAGGGGTTCTCTGCAGAGCAGAGGAACTGAAGTCTGGGTGTGTGTTGAGAGCAGCAGCCTTGCAGAGGTGATGGCATGCCAATCTTGGGAACAGGGAGGGGTTGGGTGTCTTGGGGCTTTAGGATGTGGGGATTGGAGTGGGCAGGGGAAGCACACTTGGAGTGGAATAGAGGAGAGATTTCTTTCATTAATAAGTGTCCTGAAGCRRTGTCATTTGAAGTCAAGGTTCAGAATGTGAGCCGCCAGTGGTAGTGTTTCCTCTGAAGAAGAACCTGCAGGTCTCCAGTGCAGGTCTGTAGAACAGGTGAGCTGGTCTCAGGAGTGGGTATTTTCTTCTTCACTGGTTGTTCATCCCAGTTCAGTGGAGTGATACGGATCCACTCTTTTGTATGCTAAAGATTCCCACGTCCATGTACCAACGTAATGTTACCAGAAACATTTTGTGTACTTCTTCCTTGACTTTTCTTTTAGGTCTTTCCCAATAAGCAGAGTAGCTGTCCAGTGGTGTT